ATCACTACTCGAATGATCGTCAAGAGCAATAAAATCACAATCCACGTCACTATCATCATCATTACTGAAGTCAGAGGCCTGGCCACGCGAAAATAATAGTTTTCTCTTGCATTGAGGTACAACTGACCGTGACTGACGAGTGCCCACACCAGAGGTAGAAGGTTGAGGAGTAAGAGCTGCCTTGCGACAAGGCATGGTGAACAAGGGTAACTGAGCTGGTGTTCCCACAATGCTATGTGGGCGCCTAGATTTTTTGTTTATGGGATACACCCACCACGCAGACCCGTTCTCTCACTTGTAGGCCTATGAGCATTTTCACGTTAAATTTAACGGCGCTAGTATTTTGGTGTAGATCTACGGTTTGGACACTCAACGTGAAGCCGTAGATCTACGGGACGGACCCTGAAAGGGTTAAAGGAGGGGTTTGGGATATTGGCAGTTTGGAGGGACATCTAAACTGTCATATTTGAGTATCTCTGCAAAGACAGTGATTATGTATGAGTGATGGTGAAAGTGTTGAATGATAATGAAAGTTTTTTCTTTCTTTTTGGGACACCCTGCCTTGGTGGGAAACAGCCGACATTAAAAAAAAAAAAAAAAAAATCACTTCCATACTCCCTCCAATGTGATATCCAATTTTTCATTACCTAACACGTTTGATAACCTCATTACCTACTTTTATCTATGTTCACTTTTAACCCTTTCAGGGTCGAGAGGCCCTCTCCTAAACTTGTTCTCAGGGTCGAAAATTTTTCTGAAAAAAAAAAATTGTTTTTTCTTATGAAAAGATAGAGAATCTTCTCCTGATCATAATGACAGCAAAAGTATGAATTCATATTTGATAGAAAACTTACAGAATTACGCTCTCGCAAAGTTAGCGGTCTCGATGATGTTTACACATCGGCGATTTCGCACACTTTGAGCCCTATTTTTGGCCAATTCCAGTTTACTAGTTGACAAAAACCTTAACTATTTCGCTAGAACTCCATTTTTTATATCGAATGAGTACAAGAAACCACCCATTTACCAATTTCAACTATCCAATAAAGTGGTCAGAAATTAGTAATTTTGCCAATTTCACACAAATTTCAAAAGATGCCAATTTCCAAATAGGGTCCAGAATAAACAAGACAGACATTCCTGGCACTAAAATAACATTTCCTCTCTTCATTAGTCACATCCCCAGGACCCTCTTACATTTCTTTTGCTTTCCACTAAATTTTTATTCTCACAGTGGGCTCTGGTGGCCTGGTGGTTAACGCTCTCGCTTCACACGGTGAGGGCCTGGGTTCGATTCCCAGCCAGAGTAGAAACATTGGACGTGTTTCTTTCCACCTGTTGTCTATGTTCCCCATCAGTAAAATGGGTACCTGGGTGTTAGTCGACTGGTGTGGGTCGCATCCTGGGACACTGACCTAAGGAGGCCTGGTCACAGACTGGGCCGCGGGGGCGTTGACCCCCGGAACTCTCTCCAGGTAAACTCCAGGTAAACAAAAAATAGAAGATTTACTGTTACGCAGACTACTGCATTAGTGTAGAAATTTTTTTTTTTTTTTTTTTTTCAACAAGTCGGCCGTCTCCCACCGAGGCAGGGTGACCCAAAAAAGAAAGAAAATCCCCAAAAAGAAAATACTTTCATCATCATTCAACACTTTCACCACACTCGCACATTATCACTGTTTTTGCAGAGGTGCTCAGAATACAACAGTCTAGAAGCATAAACATATAAAGATACACAACATATCCCTCCAAACTGCCAATATCCCAAACCCCTCCTTTAAAGTGCAGGCATTGTACTTCCCATTTCCAGGACTCAAGTCCGACTATATGAAAATAACCGGTTTCCCTGAATCCCTTCACTAAATATTACCCTGCTCACACTCCAACAGATCGTCAGGTCCCAAGTACCATTCGTCTCCATTCACTCCTATCTAACACGCTCACGCACGCTTGCTGGAAGTCCAAGCCCCTTACCCACAAAACCTCCTTTACCCCCTCTCTCCAACCCTTTCGAGGACGACCCCTACCCCGCCTTCCTTCCCCTATAGATTTATATGCTTTCCATGTCATTCTACTGTGATCCATTCTCTCTAAATGACCAAACCACCTCAACAACCCCTCTTCTGCCCTCTGACTAATACTTTTATTAACTCCACACCGCACTTGTGAAAGAATATAAGACTCACCAGTTGATGTGTATTGGACGCGTGGCATGATTTGTTTACTTTTGAACTTTGGCAAAAATCGAACATTTCTGCTTCTTTGAGCTCAATTTCAAGGTACTTTTCATTGTGAAACCAATCAAAATCGTCTCAATTTCTGTAATATGTCTTCCATTCTATAAAATGAGACCAGGAAAATTAGAATACAGCCATAAGTACCATACAAAAATACAGTGCAAAATTGCTGTTTTAACCCTTAAATGGTCCAAACGTATATATACGTTCACTCGCGCAGCGCCCCAAATTTTCTGAGAGAAAAAAAAAATTTTTAATAGGAAAAAAGAGCATTTGGTACCCAGGCATCCCCAAATTTTTTCATATAGCACACACTGAGTGTGCACACTCATTCTCTCATGTCTAGGCGACTCAGGCATATCATGCCAATGTTGAATGAATGACAAAGGAAACATATATATACATTTGGGGCGCTACGCAAGAGAACGTGTATATACATTTGGATCGTTTAAGGGCTAAACCCAAAACACGGTCAAAGTTTCTTTTTTCCTCATTACGCACTGTGTGCTGCAGGATTTTTTTATACTGCGCACACTGACCACATAGACCCATTCTTTCATATGTAGGCCTATCAGCTTTCTCTTGCTGGATTTGAAGGCGCTAGAATTTACGCGCACTAGTACATCAATAACCCTGGCGCATAAGCCGCACTAGTACGTTGGAAACCCTGTAAGGGTTAACTTTCTTCCTTTACATACCAAGGCCTGTTTGTCTACAAAGTTTGTGTTCATTGCCTTCTACATCAATCACTTTCCTCTATACCAGAAGAATGCTGACCTAACACAGTTTATGTTACCAGTGCAAGACAAGCCTGACTACACTAGCATGCTGCCTAGGAGACTTGCCCCTGTTGGATGAGTGGGGAACTAATCCTCAATGGCTTCAGTGTGAGAATGGTGATAGCCCTTCTTAATTTAGGAAGCAAAACAGGGTAAAAGTGGTACAAAAGTCAAAACTGGTGATTCAGGATTAAAACTGATATGGTATAGTGGTTAATCTGAATCAATGTAGAGAAATAAAGTCAATTTAAAGTAGAACATCCTGTTGATGACTTTTTATATATCAGGTCACAAACTTTATTCTAAAGAAATTTAGCAAGCCTTAGCAAAAATCTCTCAACAGTTTTTTATTTACATAGATGACAACAAGGAACACACACATTATCCTTCAATGGGAGAACTCCAATTTTAAAGTTGTACTCCTCGGCTTCAAGCTTTGTGAACGATTAGCATATACAGTGGACCCTCGGTTATCGGCCGTTCCGGATATCACCCAATTTGGTTTTCACTCACTTTTTTGGCCGAAATTCTATTCCGGTTATTGGCCGTTATTTCAGAGATCGGCTGTATTGGACGCATCCACCCATGCTATGTGGTGTTCATGAGTCAGTCTGGCAGTGTCTCTGGGAGAGTGAGGAAGCCTTTACTCATTCATCCAAACATTTTGCTATAATCCATTGTTTTTTGTGGTTACTGATTGAGTGTAGCAGGCAGGCAGGGAGTGTAACATGGAGGGAGGAGGGAGTGTAACAGGGATGCAGGGAGTGTAGCATGGAGGGAAGGAGTGTAGTAGGGAAGCAGGGTGTAGCAGGGAGTGTAGGAGGAAGGCAGGGAGAGTAGCAAGCATGCAGGGAGTGTAGCAGGTATGCAGGGAGTGTAGCAGGGAGGCAGGGAGTGTAGCAGGCAGGAAGTGCAGCTTGGAGGGAGTGAGTGTAGCAGGCAGGCAGGGAGTGTACTAGGGAGGCAGGGTGTAGCAGGGAGTGTAGGAGGAAGGCAGGGAATGTAGGAGGAAGGCAGGGAGTGTAGCAGGCATGCAGGGAGTGCAGCATGGAGGGAGGGAGTGTAGCAGGGAGTGTAGCAGGCAGGCAGGGAGTGCAGCAGGCAGGGAAGGAAGTAACCCCAGAGAGGGCTGTGATACCTGAAGTCCTTATGGAGGGGGATTTCCCTTCCAAACAATAATCAGTCCTCCCTCTCTCCTCCCTGTCTTCCATAAGCCAACAAGAGTTTTCAACAAATGTATGTAATAGTGATTTAAATGTTCATTTATTTATTTAGTTCTCATTGTTTTGTGTAAGTAAAACTATAATTCTTCTTCTTTCAACACACCGGCTGTATCCCACCGAGGTGGGGTGGCCCAAAAGGAAAAACAAAAGTTTCTCCTTTCAAATTTAGTAATATATACAGGAGAAGGGGTTACTAGCCCCTTGCTCCCAGCATTTTAGTCGCCTCTTACAACACGCATGGCTTACGGAGGAAGAATTCTGTTCCACTTCCCTATGGAGATAAGAGGAAATAAACAAGAACAAGAACTAGAAAGAAAATAGAAGAAAACCCAGAGGGGTATGTATATATACGCTTGTACACGTATGTGTAGTGTGACCTAAGTGTAAGTAGAAGTAGCAAGACGTACCTGAAACCTTGCATGTTCATGAGACAGAAAAAAGGACACCAGCAATCCTACCATCATGTAAAACAATTACAGGCTTTCGTTTTACACTCACTTGGCAGGACGGTAGTACCTCCCTGGGCGGTTGCTGTCTACCAACCTACCTACAAAACTATAATTAATCTTTTAAAAATGTATTTGTTTGTTAATATTTTTGGGTGTCTGTAACGGATTAATTTTATTTACATTAATTCTTACGGGAAATATTATTTCGGTTTTAGGCTAACCTTCTGAAATGGATTACGGCTGATAACCGAGGGTCCACTGTATTCTACTACTACAGCATAAATAACAAGAAGCCCTTCTCAGATCACTTGCCTGCAAGCTGGAGGAACCTTTCCAAGAAACACAGCATAAGTAATGGGAAGACGTGGTTTTCTGGGTATCTGTGACTTGCGAGTAATAACACGGTCCTCAACTTGATCGTCCTCACAGTAATACTGAAGGAAGATTTAATGGATATTTATATTCATTACTTTTCAACCCAAACATACTTGTTTTACATGATAGTTAAAGCAGTTGCTGTGTGTATTTAGTGTGGCAACAATGCTTGGACTCAGGCTGATTATTGAACCAGGGTACTGAAACTTCCAAAAAATTAATAATTATATTTTTAATTGCTAAATATAAGAGCATTAATTTCATGCATTAGCTGTGCATGTACCATTTTATAATCACTGATCTGCATATTTATTAAAATAATTTACTCTGTATAGTATCAAGAGCTGAAATACTTGAGATGTTTTGGTTCCATTAGGTGCCCCAAGTTACACACACACACAAGTGCCTGCAAATGGAGCACTTAGAAGCCAATTAGTTTTAAAACCACTCAATAAATGTGTTAAACATATGCAAACTTTGAGCTGTTGTTTTCTATACAAACTTATTTATACGTTAAGTAGACGGGAATGCAACTTGTTTGTAAATTAAAGACCTTTTACAGTACATTCCTGGGTTGCAGTATCCTCTGCAACCCACAAATATATAACAAAGAAACCTATACACATTAAAAACAATGACAGATTAAATCATATAAGCAGTACAATGATTTATGATCTACATAAAGTGCAATAATACCAGAAGTCTCAAGAAGAGTTGAATATACTATCTGGCCGTAAGGTTTGCTGGTGTTAGCATAATGAGTACCTCGAATGCACTCAGTAAATAAGCTACAAACAAATCATTTACTTTAAATCTGCCTAAATATTTGCAACAATTAACTGCAAATCAGTGTTCTTAATAAGTACATATGTAATTAACCGGTTCCAAAGTGCCAATATTGTAAATCAGGAACTTTCTGTATCGAAACACTTTAATTTATCTACTACCAAGTTTGTGGGTCCCCACAATTTGTACTAGAGGTGGACACCATCTATATACTAAAAAAATATGCAGTTATATGAAGTGATAAAGTAACTTATTAAAAAAAAAATTATATTCTTACCCCATCTCTGTCATTTTCATAATTTTCCTTGTTCACAATCTTATCCTTGGCTCGTTCTACTATTACTGGCTGATCTAGTAGAGAGAGTCCTTCCAGCTTGGATAAAACATCATCACAATCCTCAATAGGACCAGTAAAGCGCAAGAAGGCAAATCCATTACGACCCCGCCATGTAATGTCGATTGGTCTGACATTTCGACTTTGTAGTGCATCCTTAAGTTCACGTACTCTAGAATAAAATACATATCAAATCTAAAAACATTTGTTTATAGAACTAATAAAAGTAAATATTACTTCTGAATGCTGAAAATGACTGATGAAGCAACGTGTCCTGATTTCCTATTTGTATAGCAGTCTGGAAACAATTTCAAAAAACAGTACTTTTTAACACTGGCCATCTCCCACTGAGATAGGCTGACCAAAAAAAATAAAAGATACACTTTCACCATCATTCACTTTATCACTGTCTTACTAGAGGCATGCAATACTACAGTTCAGATCCTCCTCCAAAGTGCAAATATCCCCACCCCTTCTGAATTCAGAGTGCAGGCACTGTACTTCCCACTTCCAGGACTCAAGTCCAGCTCACCAATTTTCCTGAATTTCTTTGCAAAATGTTACCTTGCTCACACTACAACAGCTCGTCAAGTCACAAAAACCATTTGCATCTACTTCTAACACACTTAAGCCTTTCAGGGTCCGTGCCATAGATCTACGGCTTTACGTTCAGGGTCCAAACCGTAGATCTATGCCATGAGCTCAGCTCACTCTGATAAGCTGTGAGTGGTAAATTTGGGCCTAAATATGAGAGAATACATCTATGTGGTATGTGTGCACCACATAAAACAAATCCTGCAGCACACAGTGTATAATGAGAGAAAAAAAACGAGATTGTGATTTTCGATTAAAACAGCGATTTGGCAGTGTTTTTTTGTATGTTTTTTATAGTTGTATTTGTGATTTCTTGGTGTCATTTGATAGAATGTAAGATATATTATGGAAGTAGAGATGATTTTGATTGGTTTTATTACTGGAAATGGCTTGAAACTGAGCTCAAAGTAGCGGAAATGTTAAATTTTTGTCGATGTTCAAGAGTAAACAAACGACCTCACATGTCTAATACACGCCAGCTGGTGGGTCTAATGTACATTCACAAATGTGATGATGATATTTATACAATTATTACAATATTGCATAACATTAAATCTTCTATTTTTTGGTTTGAATAAAAATTCATTATGTAAATAAAAAATAAAAATGGAATTCATTTGTAAAGCCCGAAAACATAACTAATGAGCAGAGAAAATGTTAGTTTAATGCAAGGAATGCCTGCATTGTTTATTCTGGACCCTATTTTGAAATTGGAATATTTTGAACTTTGTGTTAAATTGGCCAAATTACCAATTTCCAATCACTTTATTTTGTAGTTGAAACAGTTGACTGGGTGATTTCTTGTGCTCAGTCGATAGAATATAACACTAATGAAATAGCTAAGAATTTGGTCGACTGGAATAATATAATTGGCCTAAAATGGGAGTCAAAGTCGGCAAAATTGCCGATTCGTAAATATCACTTACACATCAAAATTCGCGAGAGCATAATTTCGTCAATTTTCCACCAAATTTCGTACTTTTTGCTTTATTACCTTCAGAAAAAGATTCTGTACCATTTCATAAGAAAAATTTTTTTTTTTTTTTAAAATTCTTGGACACTGGTGCACCCTTTGAAATTTGGCCTCTGGACCCTGAAAGGGTTAAATACACTTGGTGGATGTCCAAGCTCCTCATACACAAAACCTTTATCCCACCTCCAACCTTCCCCACTAGCCCACATTCTCTTCACTACAGATTTATACACCCTTCAAGTCATCCTATTTTGCTCCATCTTCTCTAAATGTCCAAACCACCTCAATAACTTTTCCTCAGCCCTCTGGATAATACTTTTAGTAACTGCACACCTCCTCATAATCTCCAAGCTACAAATTCTCTGCAAGATGGCAGGTACATCTTGCTACTTCTACTTACACATAGATTACATTACACATACATGTACATGTATATGTATATGCATACACACCCATCTGGGTTTTCTTCTATTTTCTTAATCTTTTTTTTTTTCCAACACAGCTGTCTCTCACCAAGGCAGGGTGACCAAGAAAAGAAACACTTTTGCCATAATTCACACAATATCAGTCTTTGCAGAGGTGTCCTGATATGACAGTATGGATGTCACTCCAAACAGCCAATATCCTAAACCCCTCCTTTAAGGTGCAGGCACTGTACTTCCCACCTCCAGGACTCAAGTTTGGCTAACTGGTTTCCCTGAATACCTACACAAAATATTACACTGTTCACACTCCAACAGTTCGTCAGGCCCCAAAAACCATTCATCTCCATTCACTCCTATCTAACACATTCACACATGCCTGCTGCATGTCCAGGCCCCTTGCACACAAAACCTCTTTTACCCCCTCCCACCATCCTTTCATAGGATGATCCCTACCCTTCCTCCCCTCCACAACAGATTTATACACCCTCCAAGACAACCTATTATGCTCCATCCTCTTTAAATGACCAAACACCTCAGTCCACTGAGTAATACTTTTAGTAACACCACACCTCCTAATTTCCACACCGGGTCATTCCATGTCAAGTGGTCTGATTTTAGAAAAGTGCCCCACCTCACCATCAAGGATTTTGATAAAACTTGTTGTGCTGAATCTTACATATCTCAAACTAAGTTGGTAAAGTTTTAGATCCGTCAGTGAAATGGTAGCCGAGATAGAACCCTTTGTTTGATACCATGCCATGACCATGTACCATAACCCTAAGAAAATTTGGCAGTTTTGAATCAAAATAATTTCTCAATCTTTCCACCAAAATAAATGAAACTTTGCTGTCTTAAACAACTTCTTATGCTTAATCCAATGGAATTAATATGGATTTACGTTTTTTAAACTTACTTGCTGACTGAACCTCAAAGTGGGGCAAAAATACCAATGCGTCAAAAAAACATCAATGTTTAGCCTTCTCTGGCTTGTGTAACAATAAAGGTATCCCAGTAAAATTTCATTTACTATTTTGTGATAAACCTTATTTACAAATATATAGTTTCAACTTGGGAGAATGTTTCAGTCCTTTTAAATTTAAATTTTCACATTTTTTAAAAAAGTAGAAAATAAGAGTACAGTGGACCCCCGCATAGCGAACTTAATCCGTGCAAGAGGGCTGGTCGTTATGCGAAATGTTCGCTATGCGAATTAATTTTCCCCATAAGAAATAATGGAAATAAAATTAATCCGTGCAAGACACCCAAAAGTATGAAAAAAAAATTTTTTTACCACAAAAAAATGTTAATTTTAGTACACACAAACTGAAAAAGGCATGCACAATTACATGACACTTACTTTTATTGAAGATCTGGTGATGATTGATGGGATGGGAGGAGGGGAGAGCATTATCTTCTTACTGTTTAGAAGGGGAATCCCCTTCCATTAGGACTTGAGGTAGCAAGTCCTTTTCTGGGGTTACTTCCCTTCTTCTTTTAATGCCACTAGGACCAGCTTGAGAGTCACTGGACCTCTGTCGCACAACAAATCTGTCCATAGAGCTCTGTACCTCCCGTTCCTTCAAGACTTTCCTAAAATGGGCCATAACATTGTCATTGAAATAGTCACCAGCACGGCTTGCAACAGCTGTGTCAGGGTGATTTTCATCCATAAAGGTTTGCAGTTCAACCCACTGTGCACACATTTCCTTAATTTTTGAAGTAGGCACAATGGATTCCACAACTGGCATAGGCTTCTCAGGGTTAGCCCCAAACCCTTCAAAATCTTTCTTAATTTCCATACTAATTCTCACCCTTTTTACCACAGGGTTGGCACTAGAAGCTTTCTTGGGGCCCATGGTCACTTATTTTCCAGAAACAGCACCGAAAACACTGTAATAATACGAAATATTCCGAGTGTATGCTTGAATGTTACCGCGGAGGCTAGCTGGTAAACAATGGGACGGGCGGCACATGTGAGGCTGGCTGAGGGCCCACATTGGACGCGTCTCGGACGAAGTTCGCTGAGCGGGTTTTTGTCTACTATGCGGGGCAAAATTTCAGCGAACAAAGCGTTCGCTATGCGGATTGTTCGCTATGCAAGGCGTTCGCTATGCGGGGGTCCACTGTAATTTCAATGTGCTTTTGAAAAAAAAAAAAAGTCATCTTGAAACATTTTCAAACTGTATCTATTAGAAAGAGCATCTTTTAAACCATCTAAAAAAGTTGCTTCAGCTTTTCATTGTGCTCATATAATACCCAAAAAACAAAGATCAAAATTCAACAGGTTACTGTAGCTTCAATGCTCTGCCAAAATCCGCAGTATGGTTAACTTTTTAAGCTGGATGTGTCATGTGATCATTTTTTCAGCACTCTTTATGAGAAAAGCATAGAAGTGTTTGACTGCGTTGATTCATGGTGGCATTTCCACTACTGGTTCAATCAATCTGAACCAGCAACCCTATCACCATAGAGGTCACGCCCGATAGCAATGCAATCTGAGCCACAGGCGGGTTTCTTTGCTCAGGATCCCAAGCCTGCAGTCCTGGTTTCTTTGTTGAGGATTCAAAGCCTTGCTGGAGTATCTGTTTGGTTCCCAAGCCAATGGGACTGCTTAGTCTAGATTCCCAAGCCTACAGTGGGTATCTTCAGTTGGCTCCCAAGCCAAAGCTCTGACTACTTGATTTCTTCATTGCATTACTTCAAATTGGTGGCTCACGTTTGCCAAAATTTTTTCTGAAAACTGATAGTTGCCTAGATGATGTAACTGATGGAACAGGAAGCACAGAAATGAGATGTTGCTCCAGCTCCCAACAAATGTCATGTCTTTTAGGCCAGTAAAATGAACTGGCCAGACCATGTGGGCGCATAAACTTGATCAAGGTGTCACTTTCTTCCACCAATGCTTCAACAATGTTTCCAATTCACCATTTATCATCATAAATGCAAGCAACGTAATTACCAGGCAGTAGTTGTGATATTCTCAAGCCTGGCATTTTAGTGCCCGTATTGGAGGTTTTGGAAATGAGGTAGATGGCATCATTGAAACTTTGCTTACACGTATGGCGTTTGAGTCAAGTGGCACAAATTAGTGATGCTCCCTTGCTTCAGCTACTGTGCTGCTTTCTCTCCATATCAAAATCATCTGAAGATGAGGATGAGGCAATTGAAGTCTCCGCTATT